TGGGAGTCAGAGGGGATCCTGCTCTGACTACAATGCTACTATACACTGTTTACTGTTGAAAGCAGAGCTTGAAAAGCTTGATTTGGTTGGATTAAGCCCCCATGTATTCTTAAAAGCAATCACCTGCAAATAAATTAAAGGACACCTGGGAACTGTGTGTGTGTGTGCTTTCTGGTTAATATTATGGAGATTGGAAAACTGAATTTTCAACTAGAGAAATCTTTTATAATCTATGTTAAACTTATAAGATTGATATGTTTTGAACAACTGAGCTTGATGCTAATTATCTCAATGGCATGGCATCACGAAAGCTCACTAACCATTAAAACATCAAGGATATCTCTGGCCCTCAGGGATTTTCAGACCTGGCAACTTTAGTATCATTCAGATTACAGGTAAATTATGACTCTTCCTAACATTTACCAAAAAAAGAAAAAAGGCAGATTATTTCAGGAAATTCTTTTGCAAAATAGCATGTGCAAAAATCTTGGTGTTTGGAGATGGAAGTGGTAAAAATGGACTATCATGAAACGAGTATGCAGCCCACAAAATGTACTGTTTCCTGTGCAAATGAACTGAAGTGTACAAAAGCACAATTTTGCCCAATAATGTTTTTCAAAAATAAATCCTTAAATATGAACATCATTTTTTTTAAAAGGGTTAAAACCCTTCAGTAATTTTTGCCAGAGAGAAAACTTTTGAAATTGTTGGTTCTTCCATGTGGCAATGAAACAAGGGAAGCTTTGCATCTTGGTCCCAAAGCAAGAGCCATTTGACCACCACCATCAAAACTCACAAGGATGCCAAAGCGATAGAGCACACATGAACAGACCTGAAGAAATATCATTTCTTTCAAGGGAATGAGCTAATTCATATGTGATCATCCTGGTTGTCTTGGAATTTGTAAAGTCCAAATCTTTGAACTCAGCTCTCAAACAATTTATTTTTCCAACTGGGGTTGGATTGGAGGTTGCTCTTCCTTCTTTCTTTGTTGTTGTTTTTTTAAACACAAATGTTTGTTCATATGACAGCCTGTGGCTTGCAAGGTGAAGATGAATGGCCATGTGACAGCTTTAACATGGTTTGGCCAACCACATCACCACCCAGGATTGTGTAAATAGAATCCCAAAGGAGTCCATTTGTACAAAGTCATAATTGGGGTGGACGCGGAAATATGCTGCTGAGAGATGTGATTACAAAAGGAAACCTGACAAGTGACTTTGTTTGGGTCAAAACGTCTGTGAGATAAAAGGTGCTCTTTGCAAATATGCATTTCAGGCTCAGCACCTCTTTTCCAAGTTGTTATTCAAACATGAATGAGCAATAGTTATCACGTCCTCTTCTTCTTACCTTTTAATGATCTAGTACACAGAAATATCACCACATTTACATCTCAAAGTATTATTTTTTTCCAGTCACAATATTGCGTGGCATCCCTAACAATGATTTGTGGAACCATGGTTGAGTAAACCCACCTTAATCTGTATTCTTCAAAGTCTGTGATGCAATTTTCCAAAAAAGAAAAAGATAATTGAGTAGAAAAGATATTCCAAAAATGTGAAAAGTCCACACAAAACAGCAGTCATCTGATTCAGGGTGAACAAAATGCATAATTTTTGAAAAATATTCTGCACTTCAGAAAAAAGTTCTCTTATTCTGTGGGAGGTTTTGTTTAAGAAGGATGCATAAAATGAGTACAAAATGAGTAAACCATAATCATGCAAAATGCATATATTTTGGTAAAAATGGGCTCAAAAGCATACAATTTTCCATGCAGATTGAGGGGGGGGGATTCATTTTGGTGCAGAAAAAGAATGGAATGAACTTAAGTGTGGAAATCAAGCTTAACAGATTGTCCCATTCCCTGGCTAAACTGACGCTTTCTTATGTATCCATAGCTCAGAAACAGAAGAGTGTAAGGAATGATGAATTCACAGAATCATAGATAATAGAGTTGGAAGAGATCACATGGACCATTTAGTCCATCCCCCTGCCATGCAGGAAAAGCACAATTGAAGTATCCCTGGTAGATAGCCATCCAACCACTGTTTAAAAGCTTCCAAGGAAGGAGCTTCCACCACACCCCTAGGCAGAGAGTTCCACTGCTGAACAGCTGATATGGTCAGGAAGTTCTTCATAATGTTCAGGTGGAATCACCTTTCCTGTAATTTCAAGGGTAGCAGAAAACAAGCCTGCTCCCTCTTCCTTATGACACCCTTTCACATATTTATACATGCTGATCATGTCTTCTCTCAACATGTCCAGTTCTTTAAGATGATACTTGTAGGGTCTGCTCTCCAGAACTTTGATCATTTTAGTTGTCCTCCTTTGAGTAGAAATCTCAAGATGTTTATTTTAGAATACCCTTTTTACAATCCCTCAGCATTGGTTTGTGCAGATGAGATGTTTAGATGAAAAACCGCCTGTGAAAATCAGGAAGCAAACTTGTACATATATATTAGATGTTTTACAATGGTTTATTTATCCTTTTACTATTCATATCAGGCAAGTTGGTTTTCCCTCCCCATTTGACGAAAAATTGTGAGGTCTCCTGGTTAGATATGAATGATGTAATGATTTGATCATATCCTTTCTGTATCTGTCTCCAAAATCTCTTTCATTCTACCTAAGCTTTTTGGCTAATACATCATCGGATTGAAATTATCAGATGTAACATTTCTCACCTAGCTTTCCAGTGGCCTCACAGTGCTTTATCATACCTTTCAGGCAAATTCAGACAACCAAATCCTTACATAAACTACAGCATTTGTGTACATACACAGCATCCATTTTTAGTCTGCAATGTTAACATTGGACCGTATAGGCAAATGCAAAACATTTCCATGAATGCACTATGATCCCTCTAGGCAGATGTTAACCAATATTTTAATAAGCCTAAACAAATAAGAGCAACCAAAAAATAAATATCCAAGGGCAGCTGTGTTGGCCATGCAGCAAAATAAAACAAAATCCAAAGTACACATTGTGGTTATACCTGTATTGGGCTAATCAAAAGGCATAAAAGATATTGCAATGTAGCTCATTGTCTTCTTCATCAGGTGTTGAATATGATATAGGATAAGAAAGCAGGCAATGTCCACAAGAAAAAGAGAGTGAAGGAGTATTATTTACAGCTGCCAATTATACGTCTATGGTTAGGATTAAGTGCACAGGATCTTTGAGATGGCTTTGCTATTTATTTGCCTTCAGGACTATTACAAAACCAATGCCAACACTTTTGAGATAGTCATAATGAGTACATTTAAACCATTCATTTAGCTTGGGACAAACCACATGCCTTCCATCATTATATATGTGAACAGGCAATATTTGAGTATGGCAAGTTGGCAAAAATCATTGGTCAGTCTATGGGTAAAGAAAAGATATAGCTTCACCCTGTCCTTTCCTCTCACTGTATTAAACTCAGGCCCCTTCTCCACTATCCTTATATCCCAGGATTCAGTCTCTATCTGTCCTTTCTGCCCCATCCGTCTTGTGTATGAAGTCATGCTCATTGCTGTTCCTTAGGTTTTGTTTATGTAAATCTGTCACCAACCAGCGCAGGGGGCTAATGCCCAATCTGCTTGTTTAGTGCTGCAGAGATCTATGGTGCCAATGAATTTGTGTGCTATAATAGCCATATATTTGCATGGAAATCGTTCTTTTATGTGCCTTATTGACACTAGCCCTTTGCAAATATTGTGTTCTGAAACAACTCTGCAGCATTTATCTGTGGTTCTGGTTGATTTGGATAGTATACAGCAAGTTTACAAGCTTTTGGAGGTTTCCCTTAACTTCACAAAAGAATATGTGCATTTTCTGGCTGAAACCCAGCAGTTAGTTCCTATTAGAGTTGAACTATTGAATATATATAATCTCACTAGGTCAACACTTATATAAGTTCCGCTGGTTCAATGAGTCCATTTTATATTGATTGGCTTCTGAAAAATTTTATGGGTTTGTGTATCCCTACGAGGGTATCAACCTTCTTACGTCCATGGATACTCATTTCAGGGTTAGCTAGACAATTGTCCACAACCCATGAGTTATGTCGGTGATGTCAAACTTACCCATCTGGTTTAGTTCTCTTTGGAAAGAGGTCACTGTAGAATTTTTGGCATTTTATCTAACATAATGTTTCTTAGACCTCATCACAAAGCCCCATAGATTCACCATGTATTGTGGAAAATCCATGGGTCCTGGTAGGGGGCATGGAGAACCCGTTGGCACAAAGTGGCATACAACAGGCAAAGTAGCCTGTCAGAGGATAACATTGGGCAGAATGAATAGAGGTGTCACATTTTATATACAGTAAAGCACATTGCAATCAATAGCCAGAGCCCTTTGATCACATATCAGCTCTCTGGGGACATAAACAACGTATTACTCTGCTGTTCCCTTACAGCATATACGGGTAAACTTCAGTTTGTGTTTGAGCCTTGGCTGACCTCAACACAGCTGGCAGGTCCCATTTTCCAATTCCTGTCTGAGCCCAATACCATTGCTCTTTGATGGAGAGAGTCTGGAAATAGCTGAGAAGTTACCAGAACTCTAGGTCCCAAAACAGATATTCAGGAGCAAAGAAGGTGTGAGTTTATGAGAGAAAAACGGGTTTTTTATGGATGAGTGTGACAGAGAATGGGAAGTTATAATTTAACTTCAATGGGAAGTTATAATTTAACATAGCCTTTAGCCTTCTCTGCTTCACCAAACTATAGATCCCAGGATTTCATAGCATGGAAACATGGTAATTAAAGTAATGTCAAAAAGCTATAATTCTGCAGTGTAAATGCATCCTATGCCGGGAGAATAGGGGGAAAAAAACCCAATATGATGATGTCAAGAACCTAATGCAATGTAACACATTTGCCGTCCTGAGAAACAAAAACAAAAAAGGAGGGGTTGAAATTTATTTCTAGGAACATCTGAAAATGACAGACATATGCATGAAGTCACATATATAACCCTTCTCAGGCAAGCAATGCCATTTTACTTCAGATCTATTTCTTATGTGATTTTATGAGCAATTTACAGATCGAAAGAATGGCCTGCTGGAAATTATCCCCAAGCACAACATAAAGGATTAAATTGCCAAAGGTATTTAATGATGCTAAGGATGTAGTCACAGTAAACATGTCTCGAACAAGCTTCATTGTGATGCAGTCTACAGGATGGAGCTTTAACTCAATACGAACTCCTCGAAATATGTGAAAAGGTAAGAAACACACATAGAAGACAGCTAGAAGGACAATGGCTAGCATACGGGCCTTTTGCTTGTGGTTGGTGCCAGTGTGGGGCCCTTGGGCCAATGTGTAGATAATCACAGCATAGCAAAGAGTCACAGTTATTAAAGGCAAGAAGAAGCCAAATGTGGTTAGGATCCAATTAAACCATCTTGCAGAGTTCAGGGGTTCCGAATTGGTTAAATCTGTGCAAATTAATCTGTTAGAGCTTTGTTTTGTTGTGACCAAGTAGGTCATTGGACTGACAGCCAACAACGAAAGGACCCAGACTGTAGTGCAGGCCACAATGGCCCATCTCCGCTTCTGAATGGAAAAGCAACTCATGGGATAGACAACGACAACAAAGCGGAAAAGGCTGAAACAGGTGAGAAAGTAGATGCTGCTGTAGGTGTTGAAGTAGAAGTTGAATCGAATGAACTTGCACATGAAGTTTCCAAAGATCCAATTTTCTCCATTGATGGCATAATGGACTAAGAATGGAAGGCAACAGACGTACAGCAGGTCAGTGACAGCCAGATTGAACATAATGATAGTGCTGCTTCTCCAAGGCCTCATTTTGAAGACATATACAGAAATCACAAGAATGTTCCCAGGAAAGCACACTACGAAGAGTGCGATATAAATAAAAGACAAGTAGGCGTTCTGGAATGAGCTCCCTCCATCAGTGCAGTTTCCAAAAGTAGCTGTAAGGTTTTGGAAAGAGGAGAAATTGGCCATGTCTTCATGTTTTGTATCCACCGGTGCCATATTTAATTCTTTAAGAGGATTCAGAGGGAAAGGAGAAGCAGTGGTTAAATGTTTACATTAGATGATGATGCAAATACACAAAAATCTTCTCTATATAACTATAGCAATTGCACTCAATTAGCAGGTGGCCATCTGATGTCCAGCCAGAGCTTGGAAATGTTCTTTTCTGGGACTACAACATCTGGAATCACCCAGCTATGAATATGCCTTTAAAAACCCCACATTTAACCTAGTCAAATGTCATAAAGAAGAGCGTATTTCCTTTGACTTACATAAAATGTGGAATTTTGGGAGATTTTATTAAATGTGTTAACAGGATTAGGTACAAAGGTATTCATAATGAACCTTCTTGTCATTTAAGGTCAACTTCTCTCAGAGTTCCCAGATCTCCAGGCTTAAACTCTATTCACTAATCTTCAGGATGAGCTGGGGGAGGGGAACAAACCCAGGGCAGGAGTGGTGTATTGAAGCTATGTGTTTCGTATACTTTTGATGTTTCATATATGTATGGTAAACTCATTGCAGCTATGGCTGATGCTTCTTCATTATAGCACAAGTATGCGTTCCTTGTAACATCACCCTTATTGCATTATTAAGACCTCTTCCATGTAACATCTTGGGGGTGGGATTCTTTGGTTTTGGACCCCAAATTTTAGGGCCCGGAAACCCTCACTTTTTAAACTGTTGAAGCAGAACACTTAGTTTAAGCTGAGCTTGTTAAATCTGTTTTTGCCCTTCTCTCTATTCTGGAAGCAGGAAGTGTTGCAAGGAAGAGGTTCAGAGTCTGGGCTAAGTATTGGTTTTAAAATCACCAAAGGAAAGCAGGGTTTCTGTACTGTGCCATCCTATTTCAGAAAAACATGTATTCACGCATTCCTATTCTCCTCTACATTTTTTTCTTGCTCATTCTACTCTTTTTTCTTTATAATGATACATCAAAAAAAATCCAGCAAAAAAATGGTTGAGATCCTATATTTGAAGCATCGCAGATCCCCACCCTGGCGGGTCACAGTCAATCCTGAAACACCAAAAAGTTGGGCATTGAGTAGTAATGGCGTCTCCAGCCAGTTCCCAGCTATGGGGTGTACTGAAGCAGATAGCAGAAGAGTTCCCTGTACGTTTCTGAAGAGGGCTGACACTACTCACCACCTTGGGAATGGCTGTGCTGAAGGGGGCTGTGAGACTTCAGAGGTAGGATTGGGGGAGGGGGGGTTGTCTTACAATACTGTAAGTACTGAAAAGATATCAGTCTAATAATTTTAATAACTGTAAAGAAGACCCCAGAATACACTGTTAATTTTGCCAGATGGAGAATATGCAGCAACTGAAATGCCCTCTGTTAATTCAAGAGCCCTTTCCTTATTTGCATGTGGTTGCTCAGTCTGTGTATGAGCCTGACAGATTTCCATTCAAATTTCAGTTCAGCCACACACTCAGCTTTACTGCTTAAAAAAACAAAAATAAACCAAGCCTCCTTTTTTTAACGGGAGTATGGATCACAAGGTAGGTAAGTGAAGCTTTTCCTTGCCTGAAGAAAACAATGAAAAAAGTTTTATATGTTTTTTTGATTTATGGATAGAGTGTTTACCTGAGCTCTCAAACATATTTCCATGGCAGATTACAAATAGTGATTTCTGTTTTCACATGCTCAATGAACGCCATATCTGTTCAGAAATATCCAGATCTAGTTCTAAGCCGAGGCATAGCATGATCTGCAACATACCCACTGAATCACTGTGAATTTGCTGAAGCAATGGGAAGTTGCTTACCCATATACAGGTTCTATTGATTCATTGATTCACTAGGTCTACTTTATACATATAATGCAGTTCAACTGTATTGAACTGCTTTGCATGGTTCTACACTGCCTATATAATGCAGTTTCAAATTGCATTATAAAGCAGTGTAGATAGTGCCTGAGTCTACCAAGTGGTTTTAACCCCTGGCTCAATGAAGACTGTTGTCCTCCTTAGAGGAAGGTGTTGTTCCTCTGTAATTTGTGATTACTTGGGGACAACCACCATGCTCTTATCTCTCTTTTGATCTGCCCCAACAATCAAGTACAATTTGAAGTTATAGAAAGAGCAACTAAACATCCATCTATTTTGGTGATCCCTAGCTATGCCATGGTAAAGAAAGAGATAAGCATTCACCCGGAATCCCAGGAATTTCACCATCTCATTGCAGTTGTTTTTAAAGGCTTTGAATAAAATGTAGTCAATAGTACAACTGAAATCACTGGAATTCTAGTGAACTAAATCTCATGGATTAAACTAAATTTAAATAGTGTATGCTAAAGTCCATGGATTTAAGTATACTAAAGTAGCACTAATTCTGGAGTAAACTGCATCAGAAGAAATTAAAACTGCTGTGGAATAAAATCTTCAAAAGAGTAAATATTTATTCTGAATAACAAGCATCTGGTACAAAACTGACATTTTGGCTATGGTAGGGGTTAGGAAAAGTGCATTTTGGAAGAACACTCCACACCTGGCACAAAGAGTGAAAAAATATTCTCCGTAGAAGTTACCCCTGTCCTACTTTGAAAAGGACCTCCTTGTCAGAGGCTTCATGTTTGCTTTTTCAGCACAGTGCTCAGGTAATGCCCTCACCAGTAGCCACACTAGTTGTGGGTTCTGGACTTCCTACATGTTAGATTCCTACATGTTAGATCATTTTAGTGATTGTAATGATCGGACATTCCTGTGTGCAGTCTCGAAATGAGCCTCAGTGCTCTCAACATTGTCCACTTGCATGCAACTTTTACGCTAATTTTGGAAGATTTTTTATTTCAGGATTGTGAATTTTTGATATGTCACCACTTTGCTGTAGCTATAYCCCGCTTTTAAGACCTAGATTTCAGACTTCTGCAATTGCGAAGTTTCCCTGTGCAATTGCAGAATGAGCAACRTCCATGTGATAACTCAGAATGCAGAGGATTGCAACAGAAATTGGCAAAAGTACAAAGCATGTRATGGGGGTATATACGATATCTGAACTAAATTTTATGGTATGGAGATAATTTCTCCCCACCCCCCCCCCCCCCCTGCAATGGGTTGAGGTCCTAGAAATGAACAAGGAGTGGTGTCAATTCTGCCATGAAGGCACCACTGTAGTGGGATATGATCATAATCCTAGTCCCATATATGAAACTGTGTTCTGAACTAATGACAATTTGTGGCCCATCTTCAAAGGTCTAATGATCATCTGGTGTCTCTTCCCTATTTAAGATCTTTGTTTAAGGAAGCATAGTCATTGTTTACAGTTCTGTCTGGTGCATGGTCTGTTTATTTCTTCTACAAGAGACACACGTTTAGAATTCTCTACCAAGGAGCTCCTCTGGTGCCTCCAACCAACTACAAACTCACAGGAGGTTGCCTTGGCTGTTAAAGTGGACCATAATACTGTAACAGGCTATGAGAAAATGTCAAGGGCAAAGGGGGTAAAGCCTATTCCCTCCTACACTATAGTGTCAGTTTGTTTCACCACCTCCACTACGATCCTCGAGTCCAGTATCTATAGTGAGCCCCTTGGTATATGATGGGAATCCCCATGGATACCAAAATCTGTGGATGCTAAAGTTCCATTATATTCAGTGGCATTGTAAAATGATGTCCTTTAAGTAAAATGGCAAAATCAAGGTTTTCTTAGAGGGATTTTTTAATATCTGCAAACCATAGATGGTTGAATCTGAGGGTGCAGAATCTGTGGCTATGGAGGACCGACTGTGTGTTTAAATTCAGCTTTGCAAAGGCCCCCAGATTTGAGAAAGTTTCAAGGAGGGAGGAAAATCCTAAAGGGGTGTTACAAGCAACACAAAATCGGCACCTTTCATAGGGCCTTTCCGCACAGCCATATAACCCAGAATATCAAGGCATAAAAACCCACAATATCTGCCTTGGATTATCTGAGTCTACACTGCCATATGTTCCAGTTCAAAGCAGATAATGTGGGGTTTTATTCAGCTGTGTGGAAGGAGCCTTAGTAAACATGGTAGGAATAGATGAGATTTTCATTTCAGAATGTATCAAAATTCAAGATTTTAACAAAGTTTAGAAAATTGAATTGTGGGAAGAAGCAAAATAGACAGTAAAAGTAATAATAATAATAATTTAATTAATTTTTACCCTGCCACCATCTCATCGGAGGGACTCGGGGCAGCTCAGAAGAGTACATTCAAAGAACATAAGGAAAACATTAATTCTCTCTCTGTTTTCCATTTATTAAGCAGGAATAGATTCCTACATGCTTGTTCAAGCAACCTTTGAACAAGCAACTTGCAATGGAGTTAGTCACTTTGAAATTAATGGACTTTCCTTTAGTTCAAAAGCTTAAAAGCATGCTATGGATAAATGAATTCGATTCTGGAATCATGTTTTACTTCATTCTTTTTACTACAAATATGAAAGACCTATTTCAGATTACATTAGGCCATGCTATATTCCTGAAAGCATATAGACAGAAAAGTAAAATACACTGTTAATGTTTTTATTTAAAAATGTAATACTTCTTTTTGAGCTTGCTTTTAAGAAGCAGAGCTGCTAAATCAAAAGAAATATGTTATTTTCCATAAGACTATAAATTTGTTCTGTATAAAACGGTAGTATTTCTAAGTTACTTTGAACCAAATTAAGATCTATATGAAAAGCATTTCTCTCTCTCTCTCTCTAGCTTCTTCTTGTTCCTGTCACATATTATAAGGAGAACCTAGGAAACATTACCCTTCCAGACCCCAGAATTGTTTCCTGCCTGCATCTATCTGTCTGTCTGTCTGTCTGTCTATCTATCTATCTATCTATCTATCTATCTATCTATCTATCTATCTATCTATCTATCTATCTATCTATCTATCTCACATTAACACTCTAAGCTCTTCACAGTCATACATTATAAATACCAGACATTAGAAACGGAGAAAGAGACTAGTTACCTGGATTTCCACAATGAATTTTCTTTGAATATCCATTCTTTTAGCAAGATATTATCAATCATAAAAGTTCAATAACTCATACAATTGCTGGGGTTTTGCAACCAGCCATAATCACAAT